CTTCTGACAGTTTTGTGCTATGCCTATCGATTTGCCCTGAAAAAGCTCCCATTTCTCTCTCACACACACACACACACTCACACTTGCACATGTTCTTCCTTTTTTTATTATCATATGCTGATAGCAGGGTTAGACTTCATTGCAGTTTTTAATCAGTGTCAAGATACCATGTCTGACTACACAAGCTTAAGCTAAAGCACAGACTGTAATTGCTGTTAGTCGCTCAGAAACATGCATGAGACTGTGTTCTTGTGCAGCTTTATAAAACTTGATAGTTAGGGTGAAGGGTGGAGGCAAACAATCTAATAAATAAAGGTCCCCAGTGGTATAGTAAAATAAGAGTGTATATACAGTGTGTTTTAGTGTGTGCACCCATTTCACAGTGTCGCTGTGCACACAGAGTGCACACAGGCCACTGCATCAACTGAGCTCTTTCACTTTTTCCTATGTTGAAAAGTAAAAGGTTGTCAGAGAGCAATAATGCAGTTTCTGGTAACTACTAGTTGTCATGTTTCATTTACTCGAACCTCACCCTGACTGCTTACTTAATTTTCATGCTTTCGTCTCGCTTTCCATGTCCCTGTGTATCATTTTGCTAAAAGCACATCTACTTCTAGTCACAGTGGGTGAGCATGTAGCATGTGGTCGGCATAATTTAACAGCACTGTTTCCTGTGCCAAAGGAGGAAAAAGTGGTTTTGAAACCATGAGGACTTGCAGTTTTTTTTATTTGTGTGCTTTAATGCTTACGTGCATGAACTGCTCTCTGTAGCATAGCGTTGTTTTTAGAGTATAATATTGTTTGCTGACCCCTCAGTGGTCAGCAGACAGCATGTCATGCCATATCAGTGGTGGCAAGCAGCTTATATAAATCACTGTGCTGACAGTGTGCTACTTGTGTGTTTACATTCTCATTTGTACCTCTGGATCTTTTTGTGTGTCTGTGCCTATGTGCGTATACCTACTGTGCAAGAGAAGCTGTTTTGACTTTACGCCTTCATCAGGGTTGGGTTCAGCATGTGATCAAGAATGAGGATGAAGATGTAGAGTCACAGTGTTGTATCTGTATTCAATGAATCACCTTTTTTGGGAGCATTAATTCATTGTGCGAGTTTTCTTTGCTTTCGACACCGTGATCCAGTAAATCAGAATCATCTAGTGCAATCTGTTGTTAATAAGAAAACAGCTGCAAAATCTTCTTTTTTGTCTCTGACACTGTCTCTGAAGGTAGTTGCACTGATAATGATGCTCTAGTAAATAGCTTTAATTTCTTCTGTACCTTTGCCCTAGACAACGTAGCCCCTATAAAATCCAGATTTATAAATAATAAGGGTCTTTCACCTTGGCTTAATGGAGAATATCTGCGTGCTTAAGAGACAGTGCAGGAGGGCGGAGCACTGGTGGAAAAACACCAGACTCCACGTACACGATCAGCAGATGAAGAGGAGTTTGCTCGTCAGGACTGTGACAGTGAAATGCTTTTCAGATTTAATTACTGCTAACAAGACTCTTGAATATTGTTCATGGCCCACCACATTGTTGATCAGATTTAATGGTTTTACTTCATCTAGTTACTAGCGTTCTGAGTTTTTAGTATCGTTCACTGATATATTTGATGACTTTAAGGCCATCATTTCCACTCCTGTTTCCTACATAGACGTCTCTACTCCCAGTCTTCCCATTTTCACCCCAGTCTCTGCTGACAAACCAGTGGAAAATGTGCCTCACTGGAAACCCTTCTGTAATCCAATTGATGTCATGCCCTCTAAATTTCTATTAGAAGTTTGGGATGAGTTTACCCATAGTCATCTCAATATAATGAAAACTTCCTTTTCTCCTGGTTGTTTTCAAGACTGCCTCTGTCCAGCCTCTTCTCAAAATCCCTGACCTTATCAGTCTAGAGTTTACTTCTGGCTTCCAAGCTTCCATTTACTGTCGAAATCTGAGAAAACCCTGTCTCATTAAAAGCCCTGTCAGACAACAGCACTTTAAAAAAATGTTGTTTTGCAAAATCACAGCCCTTCTCACACTAACAAATTACCTCTTAATGAAATCAGATGCCGGAGACCACTCTATTGTCATTTTACTAGGGTTACTTTTGTTTTTACAAATTATTGAGTGTAGATTGATGGGTAAAATGTCAAACCTATCCATCTAAAATTAAATCTATGACACAATAAAGTGTGCAAAAAGTGAAAGGGTCTGAAGCCACTGTGTTTTTAGATTAACTGATTAGACTGACTGACTGACTGAGCAACAGATTTGTCAGCACTAAGCTACTAAGTGTGCGCTATTAGCCGACACTTTTGTCCCTAAATCCATCTATCCTCTTTCTGCCCTCCTGCTCTCTGTTCTTTGCACAACACCCAGAAGAAATGTTGATTTTAATCACTAAACATGATTAATTACCACCCTTTCTTGTTAAGAAAATAAAAGACTCACAGCCACAGAGTAATTGGCAGCAATTTAGTTTTGGGTCTAATGTAGGTGAGTTATGATGAGTGTGTGTGCGTGCATCTGTGAAAGGATGTGGTGCAGCATGTAGATGTGTTTTTATAAGTGTAAATAGTGTGTAAGTGTTCTGTAGGGGAAAACATTCAATCAGAATGTTATCGGGGAATCCCAAGGTCCTGCATAACTTTGAATTATCAAACATCATGAATAAATGTGGCCATAAACTTATAAAATGCTTCAAAACCTAGAAAGTGTTCAGCATTTCAGTATTCAGTATTCATAGTGCAATAAGGCAGTAACAATGATGAACAGGCTTTGGGTTTCAGTTTACATTCAGTGATGGATTTGAGAGCTTTAGATTGCAGCGAGAGCTTTTTACAGGTAGTTAAGATTCCATTTTTGTTTCCCAAATGACCTCCAATTCCAGAGGGTCCTAAGCTTCAGCTTTGCTCATTTATTGCTCCATCCCGCATTGTAAGGCTCTTCACTCAACATTAAAAATGGATCTGCTGTGCTGCCAGTTATTTAGCCTGTGCTTGTGTACATAAATTAGAGATTTATCACTAATGTCTCAGAACCCAGTAGGATCAGCTGCTCATTGAAGACATCAACTGATATGGGTGCTACTTAATGAGCATCCACTGGACCAGTTATAGCATATATAACTAACACGAATACAAGAGCTTGTAGGTTGGTGGTTTATTAATCATTTCAACCTAGGAAACACCACTCTGTGACTGGGGTGAAATGTCACTACAGTACCAATACTTCCATGTTGATTCTAAGCAAGTATGATGTTTACCTCATTCATGTTTGTAGTTTAGTATTTTAGCATGCTAATATTTGTTAACTAATACTGAACATGAAGTACAGCTGAGGCTGATTGATAGTAGTTTTGCAGATATTTTGCCATAAACTAATATATTGGATTGATCTAACCTGAGGATGACAATGGATGAAAAGTTAAGCTACACCAAATTTATTACAGCCCATCCCGACTTGACTGTGAATGCTTGTACCAGATTTCAAAGTAATCGTTGACATATACAGTAAAAGATATCACTCCCACATGTTTTTAGATTTCAGCAATAGGGCCCAGACAATGGCTGTTAGATGAATAATAATAAACTTTTTATGATCAAGGTGCATGCCATAGTTATGGAGGTGCAACATGCGCGTACAGTGGAGCTCACTTGAGATCCACTTTATAGAATTTTGTAATTTGTATTGTACATTCAGTCAGCATTACCTGTTGTCAAGTCATTTATAACAGCATAACTACTTTTCTTTATGTGTCTGTGAAAGGTTTTATTACAGTATTTTAGGTAATTTTGCATCATGTACAAGAATCAAGTGATGGACTTTGGCACCAGAACACAGCAATTTAATGCATTTTAGTGTGAAAACCTTTAGCAAGATGGATGAAAGAAATGTGTTTTACTGCCTTGAAATGCATTTCATGAAATTATTGTTAATGGCGCAGCTCAGGTATGAGCACTTTGACGCTCGATCACCACTACTGATACAAATGTGGAAGTGTACTAAACCGGCTTCATGACAAAAATGTTGTATGATTGCAGATTTACAGGTTAATCTGCAGACAGCTCCTGGATTCTTAAAATGTTTCAATTAGACTGTGTTTAGACCTTTAGACTGATAAAATATCACCAGGCTTTACATAGATATACAGTCCTATAAATTTGAGTGCCCCGCTGAAGCTGAAACTATGTTTTATGAGTCATGCTACAAGTGGTGTTTGTGTGTGCGTGCGTGTGTGTGTGTGTGTGCATGCATGCGTAACAGAACCTGTCTTTGGAGCAGCCATGCTTTGGCAACTTGTAGTTTTCCCTTCAGAAATCAGCCGCTCCCTGAACTGTTAAATCACACTAGAAGCCAACCTTTGAGAAGAAAATTAATTACTTCCCCTCCAACTCCTCCTCCTCTCATTTTTCCATATTAACCTCATTCCTTTTCTTTGTTTTCTCTCACTCTCTGTCTCAATGACTCTTTCTCCTAATGGCATAGAATAAGTTGAGCCACAGTGAAATGTGCTATTACATGTGAAGCCTTGCTCTATACCTTTACTACTCTGTTTGAAGTTTGAAGGATTTGAAAGTAGTATAGATTGACTGTGTGTGATTGCACAGTTCATTCAGGTCTAGAATGCCTTGCCCACAGACTCCACTGCAATCATTAGGTTGTCAAGCTTGTTGGAAGCATGATTCATTTGAAATCAGTTATAGCTTCAGTTCTGCTTAGATGATGTCTAGTGGAAATGGCCAAAATAATAGATCACTGAGATGCTCTTCTCAGTATATGATGCTGGCATTTTTCATCATTTTTATCCATGTCTTTGCACATGTAGCAGGATTTCAAAGAAACAGATGGTTGTTTTTAACATGAGCACTTTTGATTTGTTTGTTTAATGCTTTATTCTAAATGACCTGAGGATATCCTAAAAGCACTAACTTGGCAGCTTTTGCTTTTTTGGTCTCAAGTTGATTTGCCTTTCTCTGCTTTCCACTTTATCTCCACCTTCTCTCCCAGGTCCAGATAGAAGATGTGGAAAATGAGGAGAAAAGGTATGCCCTCTTCCTTGAGCTGATGGAAGCTGCTCAGAAATGGGAGGATTTTCAGCTGCTCATGCTCCTTCTTCAAGCGTGGCCACCTATGATGAAAGAGGAAGTGTAAGACGAATGTCGTTTTTTTGTTATTGTTCTTTGATTCTTTGATTCTTTTGAGAGTAAAGAAAAATCTTGATGTTTTTGACAATACGTTTATTTGCTTTCTTGCCAAGAGTTAGATAGGAAGATTGATACCACTGTCATTACGGTCTGGTACACGTGAAGTTGGAGTCAACACCTGGTTAAATTAGCTTAGAATAAAGAGTGTAACTAAGGGTAAACAGCTACTTAGCTCTGTCAAAAGATAAAAAACATCTGCCTGCCTAAACTGCATGAGACCTCTCACTTGTTTAATGCATATAAAATCTGTAGTGTATAAACCGTCATTTGTAATGCTTTTAGTTTATTATTTGCCAAGTTATTTTATACATTTGGACAAAGAAGGGAGAACAGCTCCTTTTGAAATGATCTGTTCAAATAAAGAACAGACATTTTGGGCCCTAGCCCTTCATCAGTGTGCAGACAGACAACAGAGTGACTCATTTACACTCAGGTATTCTGCTGTATATAACACAGTACGACACAACATTGTACCCAATTAGAGGACCTTACAACTCATTTATCTGTCATTCAAGAGTATTTTCCGGTGTAACCAAGTGTATGTTGCATAAATATTATCACTTAAAAACAAAATGAAGTGAATGTTTGTTCCTAATAATTATCAGTCTGTCAAAACACATGACCTGAATGATATCACAGAAACAGCAAAGTGAAATTCTCATTTAAACCAAAAAGCCTTCAAGTGTTTAGGAAACACTCTCTTTGTATTAACTTTTTTCCCCTTCATGTCAGAGAAATTGAACAACTTCAATTCCCATATAATGCAAAGCATTAAAATGCCCAGGAACAGGAGTCTTCTAATCCTGATTACCGATTGAACATTTATGTTCACATATATGATTTTTAATGCTGCTAACCTTAGCACCAATTCTACCACCCGTGTGGCAGCACTGATAGATTAAAAAACACACAGTGTGTCATTATGGTACGTTAATGAATAGCAGTGAATGTTCATGTTGACACAGTAAACAAAAGAGTCTTCCTCTCATGGGCATCCTCTTTCTGAACGGCTGTGTTTTATCACACATTTGAAACTGAATGCGCTGTTACTGCTTGTAGGCTGTAGCGGCAAATTTTAAATAGTCTCTTATATTAGCCTCCCTCTTGTGACAAAACATGTGAGGCAACTTACAGCAGAAGAACCCCACTACTGAGCCGAGCGTTTTGTATGTTTAGATAAAGCCAAGTTAGCTGCTTCTCCTTGTTCCCAGTCTTTGTGCTAAGCTGAATGACCAGACATAAGAGCAGTATCAATCTTATCATCTAAACTGCAGTAAAAAAGGAATTAATAGAGGTTTTTCCTAAAATGTCAAAACCATTCCTTTGAGCACCTCTAGTACAGTCATTACTCTTTTGTAACATCTTTCAATGCCCTTTCAGCAGAATGTCAGTTATAAAATCTTAAAAATGAGTGCCACTTCACTACTTTGGGCCAGAGCAGCCTCTTTGTCATGCTTAAAATTAAGTGAAAGTGATTTTGTTTTGGTGTCAAACACAGACACTTTTAACAGGGTTTATATGATAGTTTATTCCTTACTGACATCAGGGACATGTGAAGACACTGGCATTTTAATAGGGAACTTCTGTGCAATGTGTTTTCATTTTAGTAAGAGCGGGAATGGAAGAGTGTGTCTAATCACCCAGGGCAACATACAGCACATAGGCTTTTAAAGTTGGAAATGAAAACAGGTGTCTTGACAAAGCTTCAGGCTCTGGGCTTCTTGCACCAGCTGGTGTCTTATGAGCCTTAGCCAGTGTTGGCTGTATTATTGATAAGTTCCTAATGATGTGATTGCTCTTCTCCTACCCCATTGTTTTCTGTTAAAAGTGAGCAGTACTCTGAGGACCACTGGGACAATACAGGGCTACGCTGCTGTATCTTGAGTTTATTCTTCTAGCTCAGTCAAAGCAAACTGTGTTTGAAACAGTAGAGTTCTTCTCTAGTAGTTTTTAGAAACTTAAGTGGACATGCACACAGATGTGTGTAGGTGAGTTAGACTGGTGGCTTTGTTGGATTGTTCATTCTGCATGAACCTCGGTTTCTGATTGTGGGTTTTGTTTATCCCTTTTCTCTTTCGTTGTCGTAATTTAGTGTAAATCGCTCGGTGTAATTTCTGCTACATGCGTATGTAAACTAACCACACTGGTGAAGCACAAAGCCTGAAATTCAGGTCTGAGCTGTGCTAACGGTGCGTTTTACTGTGCGTATCTGCAACGGCTGCTGCATCTGACACACTCATTTGGGACACAAAAACCCAGATAACTTAAAATGGCACATATAAGATGTGAAGACTTGAAGTCTTTATCTCTTGGTGTGTGGTTAACATTAAACACTTGTCTGTCTCAGCAGTTAATTCTGGTTTTTACTGTGGATGAAAGTATGTTTATTGCATGTGTGTGTGTGTGTGTGTGTGTGTGTGTGTGTCTGTAGACTGATGATTTGTTTCAGTAAGACTACAAGAGGCTGTTTAGGGAGCTATACTGAGTGTTGCATCTCAAACGCTTATCCTTTAGCCTGTCTGCAGAAACTGCGTCATGATTCAAAGCACGAATGGGGGCTGGCTGTGACTCACACTGCACCCTGTGACAGATATGGCAAGCACAGAGACACTCATGGTTGAATACAGTACTTCCCGGGTCCCTGGTAAAAACACAGGGAGCAGCCATGTGCCTTGCAGCCCAACTGGACTCCCATGGCTGCTGTACATTATCCGAAGGTGAAGCAGCTTGTCAAGATAAGGCACCGCGGTAGCTGGATGGAAAGTTGTCTTCTTTACTGACAGACACTCACAGGAGATTCTGCTGTCCTCTCAGCTGTCTCAGTCTCTTTTGCACACTCTCTTCTTTAGGAGATAGACACATACTGTTTTACCACAGGGCCTTCTTATTCTAACATGCTTTCCTAAGACACACTTCAGCAGCCTAATCTGACATCAGGCTTCAACGACTTTAGGATTTCTATTTCTTATCATATAACCAAGGATTTATCAGCATGTTATCATCTGCACTTTATCGTGTGAAAACACCCAGAGGGCAACAAAGCACAAAATTCATATCAGATTCAATCTCTCATCTCAAATCTCCTCATTTTCCTTCTCTCTCTCAGCAATATTTAATGCACAGCTTGTTATGTTTGTCACATATGTAACTTAGAGCAATGCTAACATGTCGACGCCTATTATGCTAACCACTGGAAACACATTTCTTCCTTTGCAGCGGTGCTTTGCTGCTTGTTTCTCCAAATGAGTGACGGTGCTGTTCTAACTAAACTTAAATTGTTTTCATATATTATTTTTACAGCTTCACCAGGGCTCCATGATGTGATTTGATTCTCTTGACACAGATATGAAACCTTGGCTGTGCAGTAAGAGCTACAACCTCCATAACCACATAACATACTGGTAGCCAGAGTTTTAGTGGCTTTAAAATCGCATCATGTCCTTGATTTGCCTATGATAATGGTCATAAAATTGATAAGTTCAATAGGATCCATCAACCAAGATCTAATTAACAGATGTGCTGCACTGTGGTTTCCATCTTTTTAGCCTATATCTCATATGTACTAATAAAGATCTGTTGTGTTTCATTGGTGCCATTGACATTTACTGGCCTTGCTGGGAGCTAATTAGTTATTCTGAAGACTTTAGCAAAGGTCTTGAAGAGCTCAAAAAGGACTGTGTGTAGACACAGTTACACCTGCCTCTGCTGGTCCCTTGTGTTCTCACTGAGAAAGAACATATGCAGTATGCACACGTTTAATATGAGCTGCAGGAGTATTGTGGTCAAACATCTTTCCCCCTCACTTTCATGCTGCTTTCACACCCGCCTGTGATTTTAATACATGATGATGCTGTTACTCTTATGTGGTTGTTAGATGTATATAATTCATAATGTACATTTTCATGCAGTATTTTTTTACGTATTGTAGTAGCTGCTGTACCTGATTGTCTAACAGGATGACCTTCTGATGGCTGTGCAGTAATGGATGAACAACGTTACAGTAATTTAATTATGTAAAGTTGTTTCGGTTTTACTAGATACTGTATGTTCCTGTGTACTGTACTAATACTATAGATGTGTACTTCCACTGTATACTGTACTTCACATACTTTCACATGCAGGTATGTGTTCATCTGAGAAGCAGGCACAAGACTACATGAGCATTCGTATTCACAGCCCTGTCTTGCTGTCTGTCTCCAGGGCAGAGTCGGAGCGTCCTGAGAAGAAGGCACAAGACTACATGTGCATTCGTATTCACAGCCCTGTTTTGCTGTCTGTCTCCAGGGCAGAGTCGGAGCGTAACCCCTGGGTGGTGCTGACCTCGGGCCTGCTGACCTTCTGCCAGGGGACAGAGGTCAGATTAGACATGGCACAGCAGGTAGTCAGCATGGTGCGATCCCTGTATAACACCAAGCACAAGCTCCCCGTGCAGGTAAACAGTAAACGCTGCATTAATTGTTTATGAATGAGTGTAGTCTTCTTTTTTTTTTGTTTTTTACAGCATCACAGTAAAATAATTTAGTCTGGAAGTCAAAGATTTAGGTCTTAAGATAAATCTAAAGTGAAAACAATACACTGACATGAAATCTGGCTTTGCTACGTTCTCAGTTCATCCCATACTCTGTACAGTATGTTACAGAATCACCACTGTCATCTAGCATATGGGACTAAGCTTGTTTGGAGTCAGTGTAACCTCACTGTGGTGGCACCGTTTTGGCCCATATCTTAATGCAGGAGCCTAAACCCATTAAGCATGTAACCCACAGCAATGTGTTAGCAACAGCTCAGTGCTTTTTGCAATGTGCTATAGGCACTAGCTGCTCTTTGATATCTGATGGCCCCTAATGCTATTCATGCCCTGCTGAGCACCATGAAAGTGGTAAGCCTAATGCCATTCTGTATGTCTAGCGCCAGCTGACTGTGATATTAGTTTAGTGTTAATGCTATTCAGTGTGAATAGGCTAGTGTCTGCCTGGCTGTCTAATATTAGTGTGGGAAGGGGATAGGAGGTGGAGAAGAACAGCTTTAATTTGAATCTGCTGGAATGAAACTGCCAGAGCATGGGGGAGTCAGATTGGATTGTGATATCCATATATTACTGGATGGGACTACAACAGGACTGTGTGTGTCTGGTGTGTGCGTGTGTGTGAGGACCTTTTTAAAAGTATTATGTGTCTGCATGTCTGTACAGCATATACACATAGATTAACCTTCACTGGTTCTTGCCTACTCTCTCTCTCGGTCCCCTTTTCTTTTCCCTTCCTCTTTTTACTGTCTCATTACATTTTCCTATTTTCACCCCATTTTTGCTTTTATCTTTCTCCCCCCTTTCATCTCTTCATCCACACATCTATCTATTCATCCATCTACCCCTCCACCTCTCTCTCTCTCTCTCTCTCTCCAGTGTATCAGACACATAGCCACCCTGCTGCTCCAAAATCAGCCTAGCTTCCAGCAGCCTGCACTCAAACTGATGGCCGAAAGTGGTGATGAGCAACTTCTGCAGCTGACTCTGGATCAGATCAACAGCATGACAGCAGTAAGTGTCATTGTCACAGTCTACAGGTTCCACTTTGTGCAAAAACTAAGGCTCAGTTAATGATTAATTTTATTATTATCAGGTATCTCTTTATTTTTAATACCTGGTCATTTTAGTTATATTAATAGTGAAAAATGCATAACACAACTTCCTAGAGCCCCAAACCTTAACCCTGTCCTCATCCAACCAACAATAAGCAATCCAAGTTTTCACTTTACAAAAATAGGAAAAAAAAAGCAAAAACTCCTGACATCTAAGAAGTTGGTGCAGTTTTGAAATGTTTTATATGAATGTTTTGTATCAAACATTTCTCACACTGTATGAAAAGTGTGAGAAAGAACTTGTGAGGTGGAAACCAAACAATTCAAATGGGAAAGAAGAACACTGATGAAGATGTGAAGGGGAAGTCTTGTCTTTTTCCTGAAAAAAAAAAGAACCCAAAATGATAAAACTTAACTCTCCTCCAGTTTTGGGAAGCCACAGTCAGATAAGAGTGTAATCATTTAAGACTGTGTGGGCCTCACTCCGCTGTTTCCCAGTCAGATAAGCTGATGTCACAAAGTAGGCCTCTCAGACCCAGCAGGCCCTCTCTTTGTTCCCAGATCAGATAAGAGAAAGCCTCACTCTTAAGTGACAGAGTCCCCATTAAATGAAACATTAAAGCTCCTCTATCGAAACACCTGAGCAACACGCTGCTTTTATCGCTCAGAGAAAGGAGAGCAGAAATAAGGGAGACGGGGTATCGAAGGTGTTAAGACAGAAGATATGCAATTTAGATGTGGGAAGAGGAAATGAAATTGGGGAGGAATGGTTGTTGGAAGTGACAGGGAGAAATAGGACGGGAAGGGAAATTACAAAGACAGAGCAAATGCATGAAAATGTAAAGTAAGAAAGTGGCTGAGGTACAACGGGCCGAGCAGAGTGCACAGTCTGACTAAAGAGGGGTAAGACAAAAGATAAATCAGGGAGCGTTAGAGAGGAGTTATATGAACAGAGTAAGACAAGTAGCGTGTCACACTGCTCTGAGAAATAATCTTCCTCTCTACCACCTAAGAGCTGAATGAACAGGGCCGTGTTTGGAGCAGCACAGAACATTGTTCATCGGAAGATAACATCAACAGAGACAGAGAGAAATCGTCTTTCATCTAATACATCTGATAATGTGTTGGCTGGTGCCAGCTGTGGAGTTGTATGCCTGTGGTTGTAGGTGTATATTTGTCTGCCTTTGTGTGCTTTTATTCAGGTGAGGGAGAGATTTGTGAGTGTGTGCATTTGCCAAGGTTTGTTCGTACCAAGTCAAGAATAGTCTTTGTGGTTTCCATAGACTTTTTAAAGGATTTTTACTCAGTTTATATATACTGTTGTTACTGTGCTGTCCTTTGTTTTTGTCACAGGTTTTACTCCAACATACCAGGCAGAATTAACTTACGATAGAAAACTGTGTGACAAGTTTAATTACCTGCGTTCTCATGTCTGCAATAACGAGCCTGAGGTGGACTAAGTATATGAAAATGACGTGTGTAACAGGTGTCATAGATGCTGTGTGCATTGTTTTCCTCTGGATCAACCCCTCTTAAAACAGGAGAGATTAGTTTTTAATTAAAGTGATGATATAGAAAATCACTTGATACAGTAAGTAAATGAGAAAGTTATTTATTTGGTTACAGTGTGAGATAATGTGTTTTGATGTGTGTGCCATTTTTCTTCATATTTACTTTCTTGCTTTGCTCCTATGTCGTGGGTTAATAGGTATGCCACGTTAGAGACAACCACATTGGGCGCTGGGGGAAATGGAGTAGTGTAGATGAAAGTGAACGTGAGACAAAGCAGGTAATGTAGAAGAGGTTGTGTTGTTCTTAATGATGCAGGAAAATGCAGTACAGACAAGCAGACTTTTTACTAGGAAAAGAAACACATGTCATCTCTCCCCTCCCTTTTTCCGCCTTTTATTTTTTTTCCTCAAAGTCATTCGCTTATTCACAACCCATCACACCCATCATTTCTTCTGTGCCTGTCCTTCCTTTTCTGCTCTGCTCGTCCTAGTGAAGATGTATAGATGGGCTGAGGAGGAGCAGGGGGGAGCAGTGGAGCAGGGAGCCAGGAGTTAACTCCAGCCTGACTAATGGGAGACAGGGATAAGGGGCTGATAAGAGCTGCCCTGGCAATATGAATGAGCTGTCAGTGTACCGTGCAGCATAAATGCTATAGATCCTGCTGCATGCGTGCACAAACACACATGCTTACAGATTGCCCTATGAAAGGTTCTAGCAGCCAGCTGTTCTACCTGTTTGTCTTTAACTCTTTTACTGTTTTTAACTATAAATAACTGACCCTTCATCATAACTTCCCTCTCCCTTAGCTTTACTGTAGTAAGAACATTAGTTAGCTATACAGTACATGTTAACAGCCCCGTTGGCATTAGAGCAGATCCGGTTTCTTGCACTTTTTTTGTACTCTTGGTGTATTTACTTCTACTATCCAGTGTATCAGACCTGAGATGTCATGTTTTCTAAATTATGATTGGATACATGTTGGTTTGGGGAGGGGTTTATGAAGCGATGAGTTCATTAAACAACCCCTCCTCCTCTTACTTTTTTATTACCTGTTTTATTTGAATTTATAGGCGTGTGTACTTGACACATACAGTACACCTTGTTTATCTGCTCACTGGAGTGAAGATAACAGGCCTGTGTGTGTATTTGTGTTTGATTGAGTGATTATGTGTCTAATTGCTTGTCTGTGTGGCCTTGTTTACAACTTTTGTGCCATATTGGACCTGTTCATCTACAGTAGCTGTGTTTGCATACAACTCACTATGTTGATCCCTGATTTGCTCACTGTGTTTGTGTGTTTGCTCATGTGTGTCATAGGCCTCTCTTATTTTTATTTTTTGGCTACACAGCCTCTTCTTCTGTCAGTTTCAAACACGTCAAGTGCTAAGCAAGGAGTGTTCGGTATTGTGTGAGTGTGCACACAATTTGGTGCACCACCAAAGCCTCGAGACACTTGGGATGGAGGGATGGAAAGAACAGCCTCGGGAAGGAGAGAAAGGATGAAAGGAGGAGGAGGAAAGGAGATAGGTGTGTGGTGTCTGGCAATCCAAGGAAGCTTTATGATGTAAATGATAAAAGAAGCCTTGGCCATGCATTATGGATTAGGCACTGTGCATGTATGGTAATTCCAATTAAACTCTCATCCTGGTTTAGCTGAGGGAGTAAGGCAGGGTGGAGGAAGATGTAAACAGGAAATGAGAAATGTTCAGAGCAAGAACAGAAGACAAGGGCGTGGAAAATTGACCAGACCAATTGGGCAACATTTAGTTTAGAAGCCAGTGAAAACAAGCAGGATAGACAACCTTGGCTGTCTTTGGTAGGGCAAGACGCTAAGAGATGAGAAGGTAATAGCAAGAGCGAGAGGGCTGCTGGATATGTTATGACTGCAGTTTGATGTGTCAGTTTTCTTGCCACGCTGAGTGTTTGTTCGTTCACTCAACAGCAAATGCCAGTTGTGAGTGTAAGCGCACATGCACACACACACACACACACATGCTAGATAGAAAATGCCTCTTGTTTTCTCTTCACTGAAAAGACAGGCAAGGTGTTGTTTGAACCTTTAGAGAGGACTTAGATGGCTTTTAACCTGACACACACACACACGTCTGTGGACAAAAATACTTGCACCCCAGGACAGGTTTTCATGTTCCCCAAGCTGTTGACCTTTGAGAAAGGAAGGAAGGTATGATGGATATATTCCCTCCTCAATCAGATACTGTTTGCTCTGAACTGTTTGTAAAAGCGAGGTAAGGCCAGACTACATGGGAAAGTCAGAGGAAGAGAATGAGGGGTGAAAGAGGGAGAAATCACAGGAGCATGGAGGAATATACTGTACCGGTTTGTAGGAGGTAGAGTAGATAGAAGGTTTGACTCTGAGGATGGCGTTGTAACTGCCTTTTACATGGAAAACCTGAGTTGTAACAGGCATCACACAGTCATTAACTTGAAAACAAAAAACAAGACAAGCCACATGCTTTGGGTGTCGTAAAACCACCGCACTTGTTACACCATGTTAATTAGTGAGCCGTAGAGGTGCTGGCAGAAGAGTTAGATACCTTTGGATAGAAACACGTTAGTTGTTTTCCTTTGAGCGCCATCTCTTTGCCAAGATAATCTTATCATCTTCTGGAAGTAGCTGCATCTTTAATGGACAGATACAGTATGAGAGTGGCAGTGATCTTTTTTGTCTAACTCTGTGTTAAATTATTCTTTTAATCACGTCACCAGTAAATAACTTAGACAACAGAAGTCTGCAGAACGATACTATGATATGATCGTATTGTCGTGATGTTGTTCAACTGAAAATTGCTAAATGAAAATATTGAATGATCACCCATCCCCATCATATTTTCATGTGTTTTCACAGTATTAAGAAGTATAAATGAATTATTCATAATTATTGTCTTAGAATAATATATTTTAAGTAGCTGTAGGGGAAAAGCATATGAGGAGTGAGTGTCTGTCATATGCTGCATACTTGCAGTAGGTGTGAACCTTAGACGAACAGCGGTGTCTGAAGCGTGGCAGAACTGTTCATGCTGTATGAAGGACATAAAGTTATCTGCTCCACTGTGATATCAAGATTCCCCTCCATCCTTCCATCTCCCTGCTGCTCCCTCACATCTGTTTTCAGCTCGACTGTCAATCCAGCTGACTCTAAGACTCAAATCTGCTGTTTCTCTTGACACCTTCAAACAGTAATAGCCTTGGAGGTGTGTGTGTGTGTGGTAGTGTGCATGGAGGACCAGGCCAATGTTTGAGTGATGTTCTGTGCTTTTCTCTCTTCCATAATTGACCAGGGAATACAGGAAAGACAGAATGTGTGTATATTTCCAGTAGTGAGCATTCCTGTGCGCCTGTTCTTCCATAAATTGGTCACATGCAGTAAACGGCGGCGAGAGTGAATCCTTGCCCGGCATCACAGTGTGTGATCATTTATGTATTTTGCTTTCTAATCTGGTCTCCTCTGCATGTGTATCATCTGAAGCATCCACACCAGTGGCACCTGCATTTCCCCTCCCTGATGGCACAAATTTCAAATCAGAGTGACATAGATATATTCTTATTTTTGGACACCATGTGGTAGAGCGGTCTTCATGTGTGTGTCAGGCAGAGCCATGTGGAGTCTGTAGGTGTGAGCCCTCATTACAACCAAACACATCTTAGGTTCTAGTATGTCAGGTTGAATTTATTTGTACAGCCACATTCATTCACATTTAGAGCCTCAAACAGCACCACAAGGCCACAGGTAAAGCAGAAATATTTAAAAAATCATTTTTGTTTATTACATTTTGAGTCTAGGACTCTAGGGATGACAATGTCAGTCTGTCAGCTGGTCAGTCCAACACCACCACTGTGATCCAGACTGAAATATTTCAGCAACTACTGGATGGTTACAGACACTCATAGTGTGAATCCTAATGACACTGGTGATACCCAGACTTTACCTTAAGGAAGATTTCTGCAGCCCAAATACCGAACTGTGCATACATACAGGGAGCCTTTATATGCCATCTTGGTTGCTGTTTACTTTCCTCCACCCAGCAACAGCATATGACATGCACTTTGCTGTCACGGTAAATATTATACCTGCTAAATATCAGTACGTCAACATCATAACTGTGCCTCATGAAGTTGCTAGCAAGTCTGTAAACTCTTGGTGTTGTAGTTTTCATCATCACATCTGTCATAAGCAATAGAGGAGCAGGAAATAATCTGGTAAGCTGTCAGTGCTGGTGAACAGAAGTCTGACAGGGCAATAAATAAATATACTAATCCCCAGGTTAGCCAACCTTATTTGGAAGAGACAACTTAGGCAAACAGTGCTCAAACTGTCTGTTGTAAACATCAAACCCCAACCAACTGTATTTGCTGTTTTTTCATTACATGACTGGTTGAGTTGAGCTCAGATCTTTATTGTCCCTTGAGGGGAAATTTGATTTGCACTAGCGGACGAGGAAAACATGAGCACATAAAAGAACAAGGGCCATTGATCACAACAATAACTGTAAAAACAACCAAAAATAAAATGTAAATGTTCCTTTAAAATATCCGATATAGTGCATATAATAGTAAAGTGCCGATGAATAGTGCAGACAGGGCCTAATCCAAATAGAGAAAAACCACAGTAAACTGCTGATGTCAAGACTTATTACATGCCCCAATTGCACTAGGAACACAAGAGAACCCGTATCTGCTGCATTTTACCCTGGGGGACCGATATCTCCGCCCAGAGGGTAAGAGAATAAATTCCTCCAGTAGATGATGGTCAGTGCTGGACAGGGTTGACCGTGCTTTTCTCAAAGCTTGTCTGCCAGAGAAAGCTGTTATTTTGCTGGCTGCTTAACCACCTTAGAAATAGTTTTTCACAATAAAGTCTCCATACCAAGAGATTATACAGAAAGATAAAATAGCCTCGATAAAAGACATAAAATAAAATCATCCAATGTCTCTGCAGACTCAATTTGTTGTCAGTTGTTGTTCCCATGTACATTAAACTGGCCCATGATCATCCTCTCCATCTTGGAACAGACCAATTAGAACGTGTTGCCCGCGATCTTCAGGAGATGCTTGTCATTGTAACAACTCTGTATAGGGAACATACAATAATGGGGACAGGACACACCCCTGGGGTGAACCTGTGGATAACAGCCACTTCTGAGAAAGAGCACCATTAACCCTAGCTGGAGCACTTGCATTTGGTTTTGGCTCAAAATAAATCTGGAAACTGTTGGCTTGTTTGCAGCATCTCTAATCATCTAACAGTTTTCTTGTCTCATCTGACTTTATTGTTGTTCTCTCACTGTGTTCCCACATCTCAGGAGATTCTTTTTTTGAGTAGTGTTATCACAGCTGATAGGAATGATAAATAGGTTTGAAATAAGTTTGAGAAATGTGCATTGCTCACTCCTTCACCTGTGAAGTTTGAGATCATCTTTGTAGGTTACCGAGCTTCAAAGCGGGTCAGTGTTCACTGCACTTCCACAAATCCCCATGAAGAATATTTGTTCTTCTCTGATGAGGCTCAAAAATCAAAAAGCTCCAAACTGGCATCTTGCGTTGAAATGCCTTTCTTTAGTCCTAGTCCATCTGTCTTTCGCTGTCATACGCTTTCCAAACTCCTAGGCCTCCCTGTCCCTCTTGTCTTTCCTTCCCTTAATTCTCATTATAACCGGATGACCTCCTCATCCACCTCTGCCTCAAGATTAAAAACATCTCTCTCTGTGACCCTCTTTCCCCAGCTTGTCATGAGTCATCTGATCCTAGCTCTCACTGTAAGAGAGAAATTAAATTATTAGTCATGCATGTCATATGCATTTCTATAACTGTTACAGCATATCAATCACCTGGCTGTCTTTTTCCTGTACCAAAGCAACAAAATTGTATTTCAGTGTGTTAATGTATTCAAATCCAGAATATTTTTACAGAAACAATCATGACGCATGGTGATAATGTTGTTTTTGACATCTGCTTCATTACTACAGTGTGATTTCATAAAGGGAGAGTGTCATTGTCAGTGACAGCAGCTCAGTGTCTCCCAACTCTCATGTGAGATGTTTACGATCACTAATCATCACATGAGTGAAGTGATCATTTTTAAAGGGTTTTAAGTTTTTATGGATGAGTCATCCTTTGAGGGAAGAAGAAGGGAACAAAGCCGGCACAGAGATGAGAGATATTAGAGGTGAGGGAGAGAAATTCATCCACAACTGCTCCTCTTCTCTACTACAGAAGAGGAGATATGAGCTCCACATTTATAATTGATCTGCTTCAGCTCCAGAAATACCCTGACAGGGACTGACTGTTGTCTGTGTGTGTGTACCTAAAGGCGTGTATAGTTGAGCAAGTGCAAGTTTAATAATAGAGACAGCAAACAGGTGAGAGGGTGCAGAGGAGGTAGAACGAGTTGCAGAAGAAAGCAGAGGGATGGTCACCCCAGCGGCACTTAGCAGTTTGAAATTGCATGCCATTCACTGATGTAAATTGATGTGTATGTGAAGAAATGTGCCACTGGAATGGTGGTCGACACAGGGTATGACCTAACACTCTGACCCTAATCAGGTTTCCTCAAGCATTTCATGCACTAATGACACACAGACTCAACACTACCACTGTTGCAGCATGAAGCTACAATGGCCACTGGGTCTGCAGACCACTGCGGCTGGTAAATCTCCAGTTTTAACCAGTAGATGTTACAGGACAAGTACATGCATAGGTTGGGGGTTTCCCTGCCTTTTGTTGACTGGCTGCATATTCAATTTCTGTCTTTTTTTTCAATTTCTGAGGTTCCAGGGATGAAAAAAGCAATAACACTTGAAAGAGAAAGTAAGTTTCTCCTGACTCTGTCACCACACGCGCTTACACTCTGTCCCTCCTCACTTTTCCCTCCAGGAGACAGCTTCCTCCTGTGATACAGAGCTCCTCTCATTGCTCCTGGATGCTGGACTCCTGGTGGGCTGTGTCTCCTCAGCTCTGTACCCCTCCCTCAGCTCCCACATGCTGTCGCACCAGGAGGACGGAGGCTGGGACGTGGAGAAAGCTGCGGCGGAGCTGACAGCGGCAGGCCACAGGCCCGAGGCGGGCTCCCTGCTGCTGGCTTACCGTGGAACACACCAGGGCCAGTTCACCTTCAATTCCGCCCTGGCCGTTCTCAGGAAGTGGCTGTGAAGGGAAGAGAGAGAGGGTGAAATAAGATTTGAAGGAAAAAATAACAGAGAGGACACAGTTTGGACTGCAGCCACGCACCACGGTGATAAAGCGGCTTTAGGGAAGGAGAACACGAAGATGTTGAGAGAGAAATGGATTGAGATCTGAAGAAATTAGCATGAGGTGAGAATTGAAGCAGTATCAGGCCATACCTTTGCATTTTGTTCTGTAATTGGTTTTCAGGTCCATCAACCAACGACAACAGCAGCCGTAGTGTGCGCCTTCAAGCTCCAAGAGCGGCTACCTTTAACAGTGAATCATCTGCTCAATTAGAAACACACACACACATAAATACACAAACCTCTGCCGTCTCTCAGTCATGAATGAATGTTCAGATTGAGGGCTAATCAGGAAATACACTCACTGCTTGCATTTATTCGTGTGTGGATGTGTGCGCGTGTGTGCTGTGTCCTATTGTGTGGTAAAGTAATTGAGCAGTAGCGGGGAAGCAGTGGGTGGATATTAGCCTATTGTTCCGTGACAGGTTTGCCTCTTTGACGTCCCATCGTTAAACACTCTGCCTCTGCTCCATTGTTTTCCCCCTAATAATGTCTAATTAAATCCTTCTAAACAAATTAGCACAGCAGCTGCCCTGCACCATGTGTGCGTTTGTGTAGATGCGCAAATAGTGTATACCAACACCCTAGTGATGTCATGTAGAGCTAATGATGATGAGGACTAAACCTGTGTTTACCTACACAGGGATCCTGTAAGCATGGTGTGCTTCTCTTTATATAATACAGGAGTACCACCTTTCAGAGCTCAAATAAAGATGACATTTAATGACTCACCGTTTGTGTTTTCATCCATTTCTTTCTTTATAATAGTGCTGGAGGAAATGTGCACAACTCTAACATTACAATTTATGCAAACTTTTCATTAGATGTCTTTAAATCTTTGAGTGTATTTTAACAGTTTTGTTGACCCTGTTAACATGTCTCTCTCTCTTTAGCTACACACACACACACACACACACACACACACACACACACACACACACATTATTATTTTTTTATTTCTGTGTTCAATGAAACTAATATAGCGTTGCTGTAGTGGGTCTCCAGAGCACTCTGTGTTTTCTAGTATGTGCACAGAAACCAAACCCGCTCTTTCAAAGTAAAGCACCACTTTAATGAACGGTACGAAGGAACACGATTTGGGAGGTGGTTAAAAAACATCAAAAAGATCAGCTTTTCTCACTCACACAACCATCTGAGTGGATAAACTTTATTCTACAGCACTTGACCTCTGACTGGTGTCATGCAGATTTAATGTAATAAAGAAATAAGCCCTTCAAACTTGGTTCCAAATTTTTGTTTAAAATCAAATATTGACAGATAAATAACTAACAACATTAATGTCAGGACTAGATGTCCAAGCTGCAGTTACAGTTTGTTTAGATTAACATCTAAAACTCTGCTAATATGCTTCATCCCAACTGTGTGGGTGTGGTTCATCGTATCTGATTGCAGTGATTTGAGTGACCTGGCAGCATAAGTCATTAGATTTACTCATTGTGCCATAGTTAATTATCCAGTAGCTGTCACTGTACCTGATGGCTGCTGAACTGTGGCACCAGTGGCTTCAAGGCCCATTTAAATCTGCAGTAATAAGCAAATCCCGTTTCCACTGTTTAACTTTCTCCTGATGTAGTTAATCCTTTCAGTTCTGCCACCTCCAAAAACTAAATAAGTTAATTCCTATAAATTCCCCCATGAGTAAGTTTCTATTAAATATGTTTTGTTTGAGCGCCACATATCTTGTTGCTCCATGAGTGAACGGTGGTATTTGCCTGCCTATCCCCTCTTATCATTTGCAATACTTTTAAGCCAGCCAAAAATAAGACTATACATTATTTCAACATTGTGAAATATTTGACAGTAATTCCACTTGGCAGGCAACATTTAAAACAGCTCCCGGAGTAGAGTAGCTCATACCCCTGACAGGACATAAATTGAATAAAGGGCCGTGGCTCGGAGGTATTTACCCTGACATCAATACTGCAGTGTTTTAAGCCTATTCATAAGAGATGGGCCTGAAATGGGTGTGTGTTCTATATATCAAACAAGAGAGTAATGAATTTTCCACCTGTGGAAGAAATAGAGGAAAATGAGACAATGCTTGTGTCAGAGATGGACCACATGAAAATATAGTCGGACACAAAGCTATCAAATGGGCTTTTTACAGGCCTGGGTGCATTATGGAAGCGTCAACATATACCACAAGAGGAAATAGTACTTTTGAGAGTAATGGGTCAATTTCACAGGCGTCCAGTCTTTCACTCTTGGCTCTGCCATTTAGTGCTATTCTAAACCAATGTTATAAAGATGATGGGGCTTTGGGGCTTTGGGGCTTAGGAAAGTGCACCAATGTTCATTCTCTTGCATCAGATAGTGTCTATCAGTGCTACAAAATGAACTAATTGGACTCACATAGTATTTGAACCAGGTTTTTTTTTGATACCTTGAGCTACAGCAGGAGTCCGCTTTTAGCCCTGGCCAGCATGAAATCAGCTCTGTGCTAACCTAACAGGATTACATGAATCTTAATTGTCATCAGTCCTGAAATCCTCCTGAATCAGTGCTACCAGGCACATATCTGTGAGCTTTAACACTGTAGCAAAGTTGAATGACTTTGATAATGTTTGAGGATAAACCACTGCCAGGCTAACATTCAGCCAAAACTACTTGACAGTTAATGCTACTTAGAGTAATTATACATCTGTCAGCAGCACTGAGAGCAGTCATTTACTGCAGGTAACTCAAAGTAACAGAAAATATGTAGAGAACTCTGGATGATGAGGGGGGAGGCTGATGGAACATTAAGACAGCCTCGGATTTACATATTTATAAACAGAGATAGATTAGAATATATTTTTAAAAAATTAAAAGACACAACGAACAAAGGCAATGGGACAGGGGTGGATGAGGACCAAGTGGATTAGCTCTGCAGTGTTGTGTTTGGCACTGTCTTTTGACCTGTCTTGATTAGCAGAGCCGACCCCCATAAACCCCCCGGGAGCACTCGTGTGCTTGTTTGCTTAAAATACTCTCAAACACACACATCTGAAATGCCAAACAGCCTCTCAGTGTCCACACAGCTACTGCATCTTTCAGCAAGGATACAAGGTAAAATATAATTAAATATACATTTTGTTACTTCCTTTTTTTCACTGTAAAAACTGCAACTTATATTCTTTGGCATGAATAGTTATATGTTGTTAGAACATAGAAACAAAATATCAGTGATTCAGGGAAAAATTTTGTTGTGCCAAGAAGGTTTTCTTTTTGGTCAAAATGAAAATGATGAAAGCCATGATGAAGAAAGGTCTCCATGTCAGACACATCCTGCAGCATTATTATGCAAAGCACTTAAGTTTGTGGGATTGTTTTGAGGACAAACAATCAAAACTGCTAGCATAAGCAACACAAATCATTGTCCTAGAGCAAACTATTTAAAAAAAACAAATAACTTTTTGATGCAGATTGTAGGTTTTATAGTTATCTCAACTTTGTGTAAATGGTTTTGATAGTGTAGAGTTATATTTTACTCAAAGTTTGAGTATGTCAACAAAAGTAAAAATTCCAAGTTGGATAAACTCAAAGCCTAAACTTCAGTAAGTTTCATTGGGTAACTCAAAAAGTTACTGGTTTGTTGCCATGAAATTTTTGGGTTTTCTCAATGTTTTCTTTTGCACCATTTGATTAGTTTATGTTTGTTTTTGCCACTTCTAACTCAGTTTACACTGTTCCCTCATCTTTACAGCTATTAAGATCAATATTTTTACATGAATAACTGATCGAATGGCTGTGTAGTGTAAAGGGGACATGACGATGAACCCGTTGTGTTGTTACCTCCCAGCGCTTCAAGGCCTTTTAGCTCATTCACTCTAAAAATAAAAAAAAAGCTGCAACTTTTACAAGGTTTCCAAGTTTAGACAGGAATTCTGCCAACTTGTTCACCTAATTACAATTAAATTCTTGTTTCAATGCCATGTATTTCTACTTTTAACAACCACAGATATTCTTGTTGAATAAACACACAATACTTGCTTCAGTGAGATAAAACTTTCCTTTATAAATAAAGGAACAGTGCTGTTGTAAGGCTCAATAAATAAGCATAAATAAAGACCACACAACTGAAAGTTAGTTGAAACCTTGTTCATTCCACAGCATCACATGCTGGTAAATATGAGTTAAGGGTTTTCCTCTATAAATAACGTCTGGTCTCAAGCATAACAGATGTATTGTGCTTGAGACCAGACTTACATTTTTGTGTTTTATCTCAATGAAGAAAGAATTATGTGTTTATTCAACAAGAATATCTGTGGTTGTTGAAAGTAGAAATGCATTGCTTTGAAACAAGAACTGAATTGTTAGCTAGCCTCACAGGAATATAATTAGGTGAACAAGAAGATTCAAGCTGGCGGAACTTGTGTCTAAACTTGTAAACTTATGTAAAGTCAACAAAAATTGTCAAAAGTTGGGAAAACTATAAATTTATTGTATCGTGTTGCCTTGATAATTTGCTGTTTTTCCGCTTTTTTTTTTTCTTCATTGTTTTTGTTTTCTAGCCTGTAACTTCATGCCTTTTGCTTCACTTCTTGTTGTTTTCAGTCACAGCAGGCAGCCGTTTTTAATGAAACATCTCCCAAACCTTGCTCCACTCTACCTACCCAGCACCATATGGCTGCATATGGCAGTTAGTCACTGGCTGCTGAACATAGTGACGCAGTTTTTCCAGGAATCTGCCAGGTGGATAAAATCATGACAAGCCTATAAATGCAAATGTTGCTTCATAGCTATTGCATGTGTAAACAAGCTAGCTAATACATTCACCATATCAATGTAAAGGGCAATAATATGTCAGTGCGGTGTTTACAGCCTATATTCCCTGCCCATAAGCAGCCAAAGACTGTTATCGCTGGTTCAGCCTAGCTAATTTCACCATGATATTTGTTAGCCAGGTTTCTTGTTACTGTGATGTTCCTTTCTCTGCTGCTCACAGCTGTTGTTTCAGTGTCCAACTGGCCCGCTTCCATCCCTCCACCACCAGATTTGATCAGAGCTCAGTGTTCTACAGGTTTTCTCAGGCACTAATGTCTAGATTTCATCATGGTAGTGGATGATCTGAAATTCTATGGTCTTTACAAGTATGTTTTGGTGGTCTAAGAGTTTGCCTCTCTCATATTAGCCTTGCCCACTTTCATTTTGAACCATAACACCTTGTAAATCTTTAAAATTTTTGAATCCATTCTTTTTTTTTTTCTCAGAAAATTCATCAACTCTAATATTATTCATGCTTTAAAGAACCCTTAAAAAGAAGATGCTGACAAGGCTATGCTGAGGATTAAAGGGCTGCTACCCATATGGTCATCAGCCTTCTAACTCCCATTCAGCCCGCACCAGCCTCTCATAATCACCTGAAATATAATTGACCTGTTATTGACTTTCACCTTGATTTAGCATTCGAGTGAGACCTCTTCACTGGGACATTTATCATTGACATAAATAGTGTTTACCATGAGCTACACACACAGAGATGCTCCAAAAAATTGGGAAGAAATTCTCATGTTTACAGATTTTCATTGTACTCTTAACATTCACAATGGCAGAATTCATTTACTGTAATATTAATTCTAAAACTTACAGGGTTTAAGTTACACCTGCTAAAAGGTGACAAATAGAGTTAGGGTGACTTTTTTTTTATGTACCATTTCAATAATTGCTCTCAAGAAATGACACTGCAGTCAGTCTGGGGCTCTTTTCATGCTTGTGCACACAGACATACAGCAAGCATCTCTGGGAAATGTTGTCTAA